CCATTTAAATGTGTGGTAGGATTTGAAGATGGGTTGGTTTTTATTTTTCAAGTGAAGTTTGCACCACAATTGCATTATATACTCAATCTATCTAATGGCGAGATGTATGTGATAGAAGTTGAATCATCCATAATAAGTACTTTGCTTTGTTGTCTTTCAGTTATTTATCTTTTTTTGCATCATCTTATGTTTCAGGTTCGCCTGATAGGATATTGCACCGACGGTTCCTTGTTTCTTGTTTATGAATTCATTGAAAATGGGAACTTAAGCCAGCATCTACGTGGTTCAGGTAACGACCATGAACATCATGAAGCTGTGCAATAACTGATTTATGTGGTTTTCGTTTACAGATGGTATAATAAATTTGATAAATATTATCTTCTTTAGAAAGGGATCCTCTGGAATGGTCTACTAGAGTACAGATTGCCCTTGATTCTGCAAGGGGGTTGGAGTACATCCATGAGCATACAGTGCCGGTCTATATCCACCGCGACATTAAATCCGCTAATATTCTTATAGACAAAAAATTTCATGCAAAGGTTGCTGTTGCTGTCTGGAAGCCTGAATTACATACTTTGATAATATTCAGGTGTTTTTTTGTGGTATGCATGTTGCTAAAATGAGTTCTTCATGTTTTCAGGTTGCAGATTTTGGATTAACAAAACTTACTCAAGCTGGAGGCATGACACAGCCAACTCGGCTTGTTGGAACATTCGGTTACATGCCTCCAGAGTAAGCAACTCACAACTAAGTATCTTTTGGCTTTTGCTCTTTTGGATGTAAAGTATATGTTAGGTCGCAGCATTAATTATGTTTTCATAGCCCTTCACTGTTGTCTGAAGATTTCAAACGTTTATAGACTTATTTCAGAGCACAGGCACACATGCTCACCTATCCACACAAACCCCCACTCACACCAACGAACCAAGATGCAAGCTAATCGACCATGATTAGCTTGCATTAGTACATGCATACAGCCAACATTTATATAATGATACATAAAAATCTTGTACTGATGCGAGCTAATCGACCAAGATACTAACAGCAAGTTCAGCTTCAATGGTGCTTTACTCCTTGCTCCCTCTATCATTAATTATTGCAGGCCACTCCTAACACCCGCTCTGTTTCCTTCACCCAGCCAAGAGGTATTGCATACCTGAGCGTTTAAGTTGACTTTGGATAATATATACCTAATAGTTTTAGAAAACAAGTTTAGCAGAGAATGTTGAGATTGTTGGGTGACAATATGCTAAGAGATAGATAAGAAATTAGTACAACCCTTAGTTGAGCTGAATGGGAACAAGGGGTTCTTCTTATTGTTGTATTTCCATTCCTGGTAAGTGTAGTTTGAAACTTCTTGACTGCTCCCAAATTGTAAAATTTGATATATGGTACTCTTTGAGTAGAGCATCATGCCATCATATTCCTGATGAGTGAGAATTTTTTTGTTTCTTTTAGTGCAATTGACATTATATAATGTGCTTGTGCTGTGCTTGACAACTATTATTATTATATTATTCTGATATCTTCCACCCTCTTTTTCTGTGCCTCTGTTGATAATTAACAAAATTATTTTGGATAAATGTGTAGGTATGCACAATTTGGTGACGTTTCTCCCAAGATTGATGTTTTTGCGTTTGGTGTTGTCCTTTATGAGCTAATTTCTGCAAAAGAAGCAATAGTAAAAACAGGAGTTGGCACGGAGTCGATGGGTTTGGTTGGTCTGGTTAGTTTCAAATTCCTTGCTGCTAAAACTGCTAGTCTTATTTGGTTGGATTCAGTTGTAGATCCACATGCAGAGTTTAGAATATTTGCAGAGTAAGCTGGGTTTTGAATCAAACTCAAAAATTTATTTATCTTGTCAGAATAACTTGAAAGAAGGAACATCAAGGAAGAATCACTAATTTAAAGCTACATGTAATATGAACTGAAATTGGCGAAAAGAAAGATACTTTGCTGTTTCAGTTCGTTTTCGTTAGACTCCCGGGACCAACAAGTTCAATCTAACTCTTGGATTTCTTATATTTTTAAGCCTAAGCCTAAACCTTAATGTAAATTGAGGTCAATGTCTTGAAGAAGTAACTATTATTACTCTTTCAAGTAATAACTAAATGAATCACACAAAGGACCTGCAGTATAATTTTTTTTCTTCTTCTTTCTGTCAGCAATTATTTCAGGCATCATGAAATTTTAATCCAAATTCTAGTAACACCACTATTTCTCCGTGAAAATTCTTGGTTGCAGTTTGAGGATGCTCTTAACCAGCCTGAGCCAAAGGAACATCTGAAGAAACTAGTTGATCCAAGGCTTGGCGACAATTACCCGATAGACTCGGCTCATAAGGTGAAAACACGTCCCTCGCCAAAAGCAGCGAATTAATTTACATCCAAGACTAAAAAGGAGAAAGAAAAATCTTGTGATAAGTGTCCATGACAGTTTCAAAGCAGTATTGATGATTGCACCGATGCAATGTTCTTATTGCGCTCATAATGACTGCATTGTTTTAAATTTTGTAGTTGGGCACGATTCGTGAGCCATCTACCTCCTCTCCCTATATGTAGCTAGGCAACTATAGCATTGTTTTTTTTTTGGGGGGGGGGGGGGGGGGGGATTAAAGGAAGTTATTTATTTATTTTTATTTTTTTGGACAGACGGCTCTTCTCGCCAAGGCTTGCACGCAAGAGAACCCTCAGCTGAGGCAAGCATGAGAACCATAGTCGTCGCGCTCATGACATTATCATCTACCACTGCAGACTGGACGCTGGCTCCTATGATAACCATGCCTTGGTTAATCTCATGTCCGGTAGGTAAATCGGCGGGGCTTCTCCCCTTTGCACATCGTGTAACCTTTCGTAACCTACGCAGGCATCGTTTCTTATGAGATACGAGTCAATAGAAAAATCATTTACGCATGTGATCTAACCGCAAAATTGTTGTGGGGTTGGATGAGGTTTCCTCCCATTTGGTCGCTCATTTGGGGAATGTTCTTTCGCTGGGGAGCTTGTGATTGGGATTGTTGTGTAATAAAACATTTTGTCATTCTAGTGCCATGTGTTATATATCAATTTTTTTTTTCGTTTTCATTTGTTGGATACTAAATTTGCTAACAACATGTAATAAGCTGTTTGGTCTATACTTACCACCGTCGGTTGGGATCGAAGCGCCTGGGCTTTGATTCCCTGACCGGTTTTTACCTGGTGGTGTGGGCTTCATTAGATCGAGGTCTTGAGTTTGAGAGTAGGCGCTAGGATTCCTACGGGCTGAGTAGAGGTTCCCTCGTCAACAAAGAAGAAGAAATAATAGAAGTAACGGTTTTTTTTATAGAGTGCTCATGGGCACTTTATAAGAGGGGGGGAGAGAGAGAAATGAATGAAGAGGAGAGCTTCCTAATTTGTATTGGGATCTCTTCTTCATTCATTTCTCTCTCTCCTCTCTTATAGAGTGCCTCCTTTTACAACAGCGTGATTAGATATTATTGTGAGATTTAACGCCATTCCTAGTTCTTCTTTTGGTTTTACGTTGTCCTACTGAACGAAACAAAAATGAAGGTTGAATTATAGAGAAATTGAGAGGCCATCTCGAATATTCCGCTAATAGGCATATTTTACCATCCATTTACTAGAATAAATTGAACATCAAAAGCGACATCTTTTTCCTCCAGAAACTTGGTAAAGCGCAAAACTAGTTCAATAGGTCCAGTTCCGCAGCAGTAACCTACTTCCAATGACAAGCACCCCAAGTAATGCTACACCATTAAAACACACGTGCTACGAAGAAGATAAAAATTGTACATGGAATTTTTCCCATCATCTGTAACAAATAGATATAAAGTTAGTTCGTACAACATAGCCGCCGCTCACCTTTTACGGAAAAGAAACGTCATCTCTTCTACATTTGAGCCTTAAATCTTATAGCATACAAGTTCTAAGAGAAAAATCTTGGATCTAAAAGTATCAGAGCACCCTTCACAAGTCTACATAAGAAATACACTTTCAGAAATGCTGGCAACCTTCAAACCCTGTGGCTGTCTTCATAGAAGCAGCCACAGCTTGTTCTTTAGGGTTTGTTGGTGTTAAAACGTCGCCGCCGAGCTGTAGCCAAACCCAGAAATTATCATATATCACCAAATAATTAAAGGGAACCAAAAACTGAATCTGAGTTTAAGCCCTTACCTCAAAATTATATCGCCGATCTAGCCTGCTTCAAATATACTTCATTCCAGCTATCCTTATCCTCCTTGATATCAGATACTGAGCCAGAGAGTAAATAACTCCCAGCAACCCCAAAACTCTCACAGTAAGTATATCCGTAATTATTATGGATGGCAAATTAAGAGGCAACGTCAGCAACAACGTCGCATCCGTCTGCTTCACATAATCCCACATGAATCTATTGAAAAGTATATGATTCGGCAATGTGAGAATGAGAAGGGCAACATTTTTGACGGCAAAAAACCATCCAGGTCCTCCAATCTCAATCCCCCACCCAGAATTTCCCTGCCACACTTCCTCCCATATTCTATAGAGAGCGGTCAGGACCATATAACTCGAGATAACGGCTGTTACTGGGAAATACCGCTGTCTATCACCAAAACCAGCCAAAATGTCTGAATCCTGGTTGAGAAGCAATAAGATGGGCGCTAGGAAAAATATTGCACGGTTCGACCCACCAGTGAGATTAAAGTTTATAATTAGGCATATGATGAAGGATAATACTGTTGAAAAATTGCCTACTGCCGGCATCCAAGCAGCCTCAGCTGCTAGCCTCTTGATAGTGAAGGAGGGTGCAGTAGACGCCCTTCTTTGCTGGCTGAGTCTCAATTTTGGCGGGAAACCAATGCTACGCCCAGGCTGGCTTGGAGCAGAACCCCTATTGAGGGCTTTTTCACGCATCAATGAAGCTAGTTCAAACTTTATCTCTAAAGCAATAAGCATGAATAACATAGCATAAAGCCCTAAGAGCGACATTCTAGCTCCTTCTATAGCCAACATAGTAGTGAACTTGTCTGCTTCTTCACCTTCTTCGAGGCTTTTTGCTCTTATTTGGCCTTCAAGAAGGTAAGTTACAGGAAAAAGGGCTACTAAAAGAGCAAATACCCATGGCAAGATCCTTGTGCTGGATGCTGAAGGTAGGTGAGTGAAGACTACAAAGACTGAAGCACAAACGATCGTTGCAATGAGAAGAGGATAGAGGATCACAGCTTGGAAGAAATATTCTGCACAGATGTAGATGCCTAATGTTATTCCTACTCCGACTGCATAAAGAGCCCTCAGCTCTACAATATATTTGATCGGGATGATGGAGGTGACTGCTGCCAGTGTGAGTAAGATTGTTGCAATAAGGAGCCACGAAGGCCATGAAGGCTTAGAAGCAACAAAGCCATATATCGAAACATCATCAGAAGACTGATGTGCCGCTTTGATCAAATCTGACCGGAAAGCCCAAGAGATAGGAACAGGCGGCTGCAGAAGGATAAATAATAAACCCATGGCTACCACCAGCACCAGGAATCTCTTTGCTGACTGCAATGTCAAAAGAATTAGATCAACCAGTTAATACAGCATGCCTGTTGCTAGCATTAGTAGCCCTATATAATGTACATTAAACAAATAAATAAAACTCTTATAAAATGGTTGTTACAGAGAAAATAAAAGCTGAACTAAAGGCGGCTCCCACTGATATAGAAGTCTTATATCTCAAAAAGGTGGATAGGAACTGATCCACTTTCTACAGTAGGATGAAGTATAAGTGTGCATATCTGACTTTCAAAAAGGTCAGTAGGCAAAGCATTGACATCCAAATGGTGACCACCAAGAGCATGTAAGAATATGAACGAAGAGGATGAAAATCCACATTTAGTAAAGGATATCTAAGCCTACTGTTTTCTTACGTTTTCATTATGTATTTTACTGGGAGTTTAAAACCGGTTGTTTGTTTTGTGATAAAATTAAGTAAATTATTAATTGAATTTGATCCTAGACTATACAACATCAAGCTTATTTATCATAGAGTATACTTCATCCGATTAGACAAATACATATGCTGATTCAATGGAGCATTATCTGGTGGTCAAGATTCAACCAGGTTGGTCCTTTTGGGATCTGGAGACAGGCAGAAGACATTTTGGGATCTAGAGACTAAACAGAGGCAGGGCTGTAGGATAAAGGAAGAGAGGAAGAGCATCCTGAATCAACAACCCTAATCTAGTTTTTGAATATAAGGGTACAAGAAACAACATATGGAGACTAGACTGCATAATCAAACAGGGGACATATAAGAGAAGCTTATTACATTGCTTTATGCAGAAGCATAGACTATAACTTTCTTCGTCTCTTTCCATTTATTTCAAACAGTCTAAAATTTAAAATAAAGCTTGCAAACAACCTTCTCTTATATGTAGGAGAGATTGAAACCTTAATTTCCTTCTATAATCACAGACTCAAAACAATTATTCATGTTTATTAGGGTATACTGTTAAACAATTTTATGTGTAATAACCATCATTCTCCTCTAACTTCTTATATTCGTACATAACTTTCTATTTTAACCCGCAAAACAATCGGATTAACTCATGGTATTGGGGCAGGCACAAGGCTATAAATATTTTTCAGGTTTAGATTATGGTTCAACATGAAAATAATCAGAAACTCCATTCATTTTATTCTGGTTTTATACAACAGTTTTATCCCAACTCATAACATGCTTCCCCCCCTTAAGATCCTTGAGCTTCTCTTTTCTTTGCCCACTATCTCTGTTTCTAGTGAGGAAGTGCTCGATAAAGCTTCAGTGCTGTTTGTCAATTACCACTTCGTAAACACTGTGACCTAACAATGTACATCAAGCTAACATTACACTGAAAAACTGTACACAGCAACAGTCCACCACTTGGGCTTTTGACTTTATAGTGTGTGTGTGTGTGTGTGTGTGTGTGTGTGTGTGTATTGCTTGGAAAGTCAGATGTAATGAAGATAAATGAATGTATTTATAATTCAAAATGTTGAGGTTCACATCCCAGCCCGTTTTAAATTTTTATGATTTGATGTCATGTCATGAACCACTTTACCCAAAAACTTAGATTGTTGAATTGTAAACTAACAATGTATATAAAGCTGACATATACTAAACACTTTGAAGAATCAGATCATAGTAGGATTCTATCCTTTTAGGGTTTCAGGTTTGGAGAAACCACAAATAGAGAGGAGTTCGGATCCATCCCAACCAAGGTAACAAGTCTAGGTGTCGTCAGTGACTTGGCTAAAATAAAGATGCTTAAAAGTAGGAAACATAAAAAAATTAGAAAGTAGTCTAGGAAATATATAGATGGTAAGGTGACCGCAAAGCATGAATAGGTAGGGGAGGTACTAAGCGGGTTTGTTAAACAACTACATTCATGTTGACAAATATAAATACTAGAAAACAGTCAAAACTAAGATAGCCAAGATAAAGATGTTTAAAAGTAGGAAACAACAAAACTTAGAAAACAGTCAAGAAAATATATAGATGGTAAGGTGACCGCAAAACACGAATAGGTACCAGGGCAGGTACTAAGCGTGTTTGTTAAACAATTACATTCACGTTGACAAATATAAGATTTACTTGAAAACAGTAGCACATGTGGCAATACAAATGTACGAGAAAACAGAATGAAACTGCAACTAGAATATTCAGTTCTTGCCTTCATAAATGAATGCGTAAATGAAAATACCTGAGCATGAGAAAAGTGGAGAGCAACAATCGGTATGCAAGCAAGTCCTGTCAAAAGAATATAGACACCCAAAAGCAAACCATCTGAGGGTGGCCTTCCATNTGGCTACAACGCATGCATGAGCATAACCTTGCCAGGCTTTCATCTTTGAAGCTCCTCTAGATTTGTCTCTGTGTAAAGGCAAACAGAAAAGTACGCTAATTACATGCAAGGAAGATAAAAACAATAGACAATTAAACAAATAAATTCTTTAGCAAATAACTCGAATGTACATATAATCTAGGATGACTATGATTCAACTGGACTAAATTAGAAGTGTGCAAAGGTAGAGCAGACGTGTTAAACCATACTTGTAAAGAAGTAATGGCGGGGAAACTGCCAATAACAGAATAGATGTCGCCCATAGAACAGATTTGGATGTAATGAATAGCATTGATAGCTTTGAAGAATATAGACAAGTCAATATCCAAGCCGCTTTTGGTCCAATCCGGCGGTCAGCAGACAACCTCCTCAGCAAAGCCAAGCCCAAAAAGGTGGTTGTCATGACCATATAACTCGGGTACATCACCTCATCATCAAATCCAAAGAAATATATTGCAGAATAATTAAAGAAGCGATCCTCTATGTAGCACAGAAGCAATGCATGACAAATTAGACCAAGTTCAGTCAAGAAATGCAATTTGGGAGGAAGAAGTGCACAACCAGGAACAACCATAGCCAGTAGAACATTTGCAACAATCAATTTGCAGAAGGATTTTAAAGACATGCCAGCCATCCAAATATTGAGATCCCAGTAGTTGTGAACAACAAACCATAACACCATCAAGCTTGCTAGAGTGACAAAGGAAAAATATGATGATAAGCTTTTCTTTGTAAAAAATCGAGCTAGGTAGAAGCCAGAGATCATGGGAAGAGGAAGGAACTGCAAAAGATAATACATGACTTTATTGTCAGATGAAACATAATTACCATAAAGTAATTCAAAGTTGACCATATCAGCAGATTTCCAAAATAAAATGCATTTATTCTGCTGAACTTATCAAACATAAAGCCATGAGCCATGAAGTTTCAGTTAAAACAAACTCCAGATTTAAAATTCAGAAAATTTGGAATGCAGATGCTTCATTCAACCAAAAGTAGGGATACACTCACTCACAAAGCAAAACTAATCAAAATGAAGAAGCAGGAAGAAACTATGCACACATAGTTTTTTGCTCCATCAAATTTGTGATTTGACAAAACCATCAAAATATTTGAAAATAAGAACCGAATCTGTTAGCTAAAACACAGAGAACCTCTCAGTTGGAGTGTAAAATTATAACTCTCAACCCTCTCCACAACTTTAGAGCTGGTGTCATGGAAGGGACTTTATATCTGGCATCACACAAGCCACAAATTTAAAGCAAATTAAAAAAAAAAACTGTTGTGGAGCGCCCAAAGTTCAGACATGAGAAGGGTGAGAAGGGTGCTCAACTTACGGGAACATGTTAGATCGTAAAAATTATAACACTCAACCCTCCTCACAACTTCGAATTTTTAGTGTAATATGTTATGAGACTAGCCATGAATTTAAGTGGATCTAAAAAGATACTGCTATTTGAGACTAGATCCGCCCATGAAAATGTGCTCAACACGTGGGGCATGTTAGGCCATGTTTGGATTGAGTATTATTTTGAGGTAATAACCCTTTATCCTTTAGAGTAGAATAGTGGGGATGTTTGGTTCAAAATTTTGAAAGGGATTAGGACGGATTATTTAGTCTATAAAAATAAAATAGTCCAAAGGCTCCAGACTAAACAAGGAAGGGGAGGAGGGTGTAACCATAGAGAATATTTCTCACTAGGGATTAGATCCAAAAAGACCCCATGCCCTTTGACTTTCTTGAAAATTACATAAGTTTCTGCCCTAATTACTTCATTCACTTGTAGCTATCGAATATAAAAAAGGGAAAAAAAGGAAGACATGGATTCGGAAAAGTGAAAACAGAACAGCAACAGTATACACCTCTTAAGTATTTAATCACGAATTGATATTTGTTAGTTCTTTGCTTTCATCTTTTATTGAAATTGCATAAGTTTGTTAGTTCTTTGCATTTGTCCTTGGTTGAAAACAACACCTACAAGTAACCATGACTTTGACTGGAATTGCATCACACTTCGGATTTGCTCAGTTTCGTCAACATGGTGTAGAATATAGAAAAAAGTTGAATGATTGATTTTCATTATTTAGACATTAAATTTAGTGGCAACTTAATTTTCTTAATCCTCCTTATGATGATGATGCTGAATTTTTTAATTATAACTAATTATGTTTGATTGTACTGACATTTTTGATGAATTAGCTGATGATCAAAACATTGAATTAGCTTAACTAAAATCATTTCTGATGGGTGATGGTGTTGTTCAATCAGGTCGTTTAGAAACAGACAATATCCAAAATGCCTTGAAATAATGCTAAAATTGACTTAAGACTTAACTAACATCATGACTAGTAGGCAGAAGGGCATTGTCGGCATTCATTGTTATGTTCTATCCTATACTACTTATAATGACAAGTTCCCAAACAAATTATTAAAATTTTAACTCACTATAGTCCCAGTATTACTGTACCTTAGGGCCACAGTGAATCAAATTAATCCCAGTATAAAAGATAAAAGAAGTCCCCAATCCAAACACGGCCATAAAGTATAAAATTATAACCTTCAACCCCCCTCAATGCTCGCTTTGTGCCACGAAAAAAAGAAAAAGAAAAAGAAAAAGGGTTATAGAACGGAAGAGAAAATCTAGCTACATAAAAATAAAGCAAAAGGCAACATCTCAACCTTCCATTCATTCTTCATTGTTATCATTTTTGTATTTTTAATAGCCAAATTATGATATATAGATTAGGACTAAATTTGGATATACTAGTCTTTTAAACAAAATTTAAGCAACAAATCACTAAATATATGCAAATATTTATTCAGACAACATTCAATTATACAATGGAAGTTTAATTTAAAACACTAGTCATACACTTCTTGGATATATCCTACACTTCACATCCATTTTTGTAACTTGTTGGACATGGATCGAGTACGTTTCAGCCTTGAGAACTACGATTAAAAAGGGTCATTTACATATATAGCTCGGAACTATGATTATATCTCATGAGTTTGAGCTGCGCCGCCGTACCCTACCTTTTACAATTTTGCCAGGTATTTTGCCGTGTCTCTTACCCGCACTTGTACCCATGCACGTGCAACTTAGGCCGCATCTTATCAAGTCCACTAAGGTCCAATTATGTCACTGCTTTCCCTCAATAGAAATATGTAGTAATAAACAGATATTCCTAAGGAAAACTCACATTCTTCATGAAGTTCTAAAGGATCTCTCCGAGATCATTGCATTCAAAGAAAAAGCAACACAGAATGCTAGACTCTACGATGCAGGGGAACATCAAACAAAAAAAATCTAAAACATCTCTGTGCCAAGTTGAGGAAATAATAAAAAAGGAAAAAAAACATTATTTTGATGCTCTAGACTAAAATAGTTGCATAGGTCCAGTTACCACGGTGCAAAAGGTTACCTCCACATGAAGACTTAACTCCCTTATTTACCCATTGCAATGCTTTCACACAGAGATCCTTTCCAACAAATATCTACAGTTGCAACCAAAATCCCTCCCAACACCCCCCAAAAGAATAAAAATAAACATAAAAAATAAAAAAACCCTATAGTAAGAAGATGTCTCTTTTAGAATATTCATGTACCATGAACAATAATCAGTATTTTTATTCAACCATTAACAAAAAAAGTTATCTCTAAAAAATATCGAATTGTTAATAAAAAATACTGTTTAATTATTAACAATATAATATTATTTGATTATTCAACAAAGCTTGCAGTTGTTTGAAATTTATTTTCTTTCTTACTTAACTTGTTTCGACTTGTTTCTCATCTTCTTAATTTTTTTGAACACATCTTAATTATTTATTTGGCTTATGTGCACTTTAGTAAGCCCAAAGGTTCATCCTTGTTTAACTTTTATACCCTAAAGTTCTATTTTAACAATTTGATAATGTAAAGTTTTCAAATTATGTTTTCTTTCTTATTTAACTTGTTTCGACTTGTTTCTCATCTTCTTAATTTTTTTGAACACGTCTTAATTATTTATTTGGCTTATGTGCACTTTAGTAAGCCCAAACGTTCATCCTTGTTTAACTTTTATACCCTAAAGTTATATTTTAACAATTTGATAATGTAAAGTTTTCAAATTATGTTAACTTGACAATCTAATAGGTTGATATTATCCAAAGCCCTAATTATGTTCCCTACTTTTCCCACACACAAAAATATTAAATCTGGTAAGAACATTTATTTTCATTCACTTTTCTATGTTGATATTCTTGAAAAAAATTAACATAAATGTGTTTGTACTTTGGGGTATCATATTCCAAAATTGAACTTCAGGGTATCATAAGTTAAAAAGGGTGAAACTCTGAGGGCTTAACTGCAACCTCCTTGTTAATTGTGAAATAATTATTAAAAATGTTTTAACTTGTTTCCTTCTTCCCTCTAGTCCTTAAAACTTAACCCTAACCGAGACTCAAATCCTGATCCGAGACTTAAACCTAGGAGGTGATATGCCATCACCACCTAATCCCCCTTCTCATCCTTCCTCTCCTCCATTCCCCTACCATCGGTCAAGGAACATGAAGAACAACATGAACAGGGTTTGAGTTTAAAGTAGAGATCAGAAAAAAGAAATCTCAGTCCCCAGATGGAGGGTGAATTACTGTGACTCATGCTCTTACTAATAAAGAAGATTTTGTAGGGGAGCCCAGGAGGGAAGAGAGCATGATAGCCGGAGCAAAAAGAGACAAGACCAATATGAAAAAGTTGGGGTAGAGGAAATAAAGGAGGGAGGAAAATAGATAGTGCAACTTTTGCCAAAAAACTGTTAGCTTCTTATTATATTAGATAGGATACTTTATATGCAAGAAATTGTTTTTCCTTGTTTTAACTCGTTAAACACCCTTTCCCTTTACAACGAAACTTCCAAGTTATGGTGTGGGTAGTGGGTTTTCATTTTGTAGTCTCACATGTCCCCGTGGATTAAATGCTCTTCTCCATTGGCTGGAATTTGGAGTCATGCTTGTTAACCTGTTCTAGATTCATAGTCGGTAGGAAGCCAACTTGGGTTGATAAATGTCCCTTCCATTACATCAACTTCGACTACATTAAATTTCAAAGTTGTGGTGAGGGTTGTATTATAATTTTATAACTTACACAACTAAATATAATAATTAAAATGACTAAAATGGTAAATTTACACTTCTAAATTCTCGCTAACAGATATATGGTAGTTATCTACAGAAGTTCGTGGATAGTTACTTGTACAAGGAAAAAGCCGACAATAGTTTTTTTAAGATCAGTAATAGTTCATGATAGATGTTTTCAGATGTAACCAATATACAAATATGTGTTCATTAAGTTGTAGCGACAGACAACCCCTTCAGTACTTATTGGTAGGGGTACCCTCCCTCTATGCTCCACCTTTTGCTATTAAGAGCATAATTGAACGGTTAATCATCAACCTAGATTCCTGTCCAACTCTGAAAATATTATTATTGAGATTTCTTTCAGTTCCCTTCAGTGAACATCGTTGTTTTACTAGTTATCAGTTTACATTAATCTTTCTAGCTTCAGGAGATCCAAAGAAACATAATGTGGATATTATATTAATAGTTTAGCTGAAGCCTGAAATCATAAGTGTTCACTAGTAGCAGGCAAGCCCTTTAGTACTTATTGGTACCTTCCCTCTGCACTCCACGTTTTGCTATTTAGAGCATAGTTGGATGGTTGTATAAACCTAGATTATTGCCAATTCTGAGAATACCTATTACTGAATTTACTTTAGTCTACATCATTGTTTTATTAGTAACCTGTTAACCATTGTACATTAATTTATCTAGCTTCAGGAAAGCAAAGAATCATGCGGATATTGGGGTCAAAAGATTGGCTGAAACCATAAAACATAAATCAGTTTCGTGATTCAGTTACCCAAAACCCACACCACCAGAATTTTCACATTCATTCATGTATATGTTTAAACTTATTTTAGCTAAATATCCCCAGCCTTTCAATTTCCTTTGAATAAAGTACAACAAGGTTTAATCCTTTATCCAACAAATGCCAATACAAAATCAAATAATTCTTATTGATCCTAATTATAAGATTACTCAGCGAATCACCTCAATGGATTGACAATATGTCTCACTTGTCCTTCTCTTACTTTTTCCTTAGGTTCAAAACTGACCTCCATCTAAATATATTGCAAATGCAAAACCAAGATAAAATGTCTATTTAGGTCAAAATCTAGAGTAACTGTAAATAAAATTATAACAGGTATTAATGCAATGCCACAACTATGCATTTTCTCTTCACATGTTTATGTTTCATCTTCAACGCATGACACAAGAACATTATATATGATGAAGATCATTAAATGCACAAAAACAATGTCACATTGAGTAGCTAATTAACCATTTGAGTTGATAGTCGTTACAACTCAGCTCAAGAAACTAATCTCTCAATTGGTTTCCTTTAAATTTATGTTATGGATTCAAAAACAAGACTAAAAGGTTGACACCATATTTATTGGTAAGCACTACATTCGATAAGAAAACATATGATTCAAGATTGAAATTCACAACCCTGCTAACAAAGATGAAACCATAATCAAGGCACACAAAACTTACCATAATTGGGAACCCAACGACAACAGCACCGGCGCCGCTAACCAAAACAGTCAGAATAGTAAATGCCGCTGAACTAACAGCATCCTGAATCATACCAACAGCAAAGGCCCCAGCAGCAGACGCCCCACCCAACATCACAACCGTCACAAGAAGATAATTAAATGGCGGTGGAGCATGCAAATACCGTCCAAATGACTGGAATACAACCCTTATCTCAAGACAGATCACAACCACAACCATAGCCACCGCCCCATTCACAACCCTAATCCTGTGCACCTGATAACTATCTCTCGTAACCCACCACAATGCTCCCCTCGTCGATGCATACAATTGGAACAAGAACGGTATAAAGAACAGCAACAAAATATCACACAAAGACGAGAACGAGTTAAAGATCACCGCATGATGCGACCCAATCTGAAACATCACAGGCATGAATATGAGATACAGCGTGTGCACACAGCTCTCCAAAGGGCTGAGTATCTGATCCTCATTCGAGCTCGTCGTCAAGTCCTGCTTCGACTTGAAGCTCGAAGGCCTCGGGATCGAGAAAACCCAGTAAAAAACGCAAGAAAACGCCATCAAATAGTACCCCGCATTTGCCATTCCAAGAGCGAGGACGGCCGCCCAGGTGAAGAGCGCCGGGGTCGTGATCGGAAGGCAGGCAAAGAGAAGTCTCTCTAGGGTTTTGATGATGCTAGGGTTCTCGATCTGGATCCACTTGAACTGGAGAGAGAACCAGACCCCGATCAAGAACGTGGTCTGGGCGCAGAGGAAGAGGGCGAGAACAGTAAGAGCGAGCGACGAGAGAGAGAATGAAGCGGAGAAGAAGAAGGCTAATTGAGAGGCGATGAGAGAGAACCAGATCGCAAAAAAGGACGCCGTTTGGAGGCGGAGGGAGTCGAGGATGTAGGCGATCATGAGGCCTATGGTTAGGGTTAACATCACCGGAGCTCCGCCGAGGTCGAGGAGGAAGGCGGCGGAGGGGACGAGGGCGAGGGCGACGCGGCCGTTGTGGGCGAACGAGGAGGAGGAGAGGAGGCGCGATGAAGAAGACGACGAGGAGCTATGGCGGAGATTAGGGTTAGGGTTAGGGTTTGGGGACGGCGATCGGGAGGAGGAAGGGGAGAAAGTGGGGAAATTCGGGGCGGACATTGAAGAGGAGATGAAGGCGCGGTGGCGGGAGTAGTCGGAGGGGGAATCGGACATCATTGTCGCTTGATTTCTAGGGCTTAAGCTAGGGTTTTGGAGGGAGAATTAGGGTTAGGGTTTCATTTTTGGTTGGATTTTTGGAGAATTCGGGAAGACGAGGGGGTGATTGCGGCGGTGGGTGAGTGTTTACTGTTACCGGTTCTTCTCCTTTTCAGACCTCGTCAATCTTGGACAAATTCTCAAATTAGACCCCTTGAGAAATTTATCTTCAAAAAACTACCCGTATGAAATTTATTTGTCATTTTCGACCCAGTTTCAACCACCTGACTGAAACTGAGTCGAAAGTGAAAAATAAAGTTCGAAATGGTCCTAGCTGAAACTAAGTCGAAAGTGGCAAATAAAGTTCGAAAAGGTTTAGTGCCTCGCTAATGAAGCTGCAGACGTTCAAAAACTTCACGAGATTTTAAATCTCGTGAAGTTTAGTGCCTGATTAACCACGCAAAACTTTACGGGGATCACGTGAAGTTTTCAAACTTTATTTACCATTTTAAAAATGACAAATAAATTTCAAAGGGGTAGATATTTAAAACTAAATTCATAAAGGGGTCTATTTAAAAATTTATCCATTATTCTGTTGCATAGTTATTACTTTTTTTAAGGGGCTGTTTGTTTGCTCAAAAAAGAGAGAAATTGAGGATTTAAAATCTGACCACATAGGATTTTAATTTCTAGACATTTCCATTCCTAGCGTTTGGTTCGCTGGGTGATTTAAAAAAATGGGGGTGAAATGGGGGTGTCAAATCAGATTTTGTAGAAAACCAATTTCAGACCAAAAGTTTCTGAAATGGGTGAGAAATGTCACATCGCTGAATATTTAATTGCTAGGTTCACTGTTGAAACGATTGCGGGAAGGTAAAGGGTAATATTTAATGTCCTGTTGCTGAATTTTAATTGGAAAACACATTTGATTTCTTAACTTTTGGATGTTCAAACAAACCCAAGAAATGAGAAACAATGTTTTCCCGCCTATGATTTTCAATTTTGTGCTTCTAAAATTTTGCCAAGCAAACTGGCCGCTGATGTGAAGTGAAACAAGCCAAAATGGCTTGCCCTGGACTTAGGCTTAGCTTTGGGCTTTAGGCTTCGTCTTCGTCTTGGATCAAAATTATTTAGGATGAGCTACAATAATATGCATAGGAGCTAATACTATTTTATTTTGCTTAGATATTAGTTTTGATTTGACTTTTGGCTTAGAAAAATTATGAACTTTACTTCTAGATTAGGTATGTTGGCATTATAAATTGAAACCTTATGTTTTTATTTAATAATTGTGATGCCTCTTGTTTTCACACATGGCTGCAATCTAAGGTGAACCCAGAGATGTCAAACCTATCATGCGCCACACACTGTGTATAAATACGTTTCACCAATCACAGTTATATCCTCTAGTGGAATTCAAATAAAAGTGCAGGTACAAAACAAGCAAAATAAGGAAATAAATACATAGACATGATGAAGGAAGATATATCTCATACAGAAATCATGTCTCAACGGCATATCTGTATACAACGGAAATAATGAAACTGTCTCAACATGAATCAACTAAACATCGTACTAAAGCAGACTTCCTTTACAATATGCAAATAAAACTCTACTGTCTAAATAAGCATATAATAATTACTGTGGAGCCTCTACTAATAACTCATGTAACGACGACTATGCAAGAACTCCGTCATCCTACGACTCTCCGAGCCTCGGCACTGCCTGAAAGGAAGTTTAAAACAAAAAGAACAATAACAAGAGCATCAGAGCGCTAAAGCAAGATTACCTCCAGTCGTCCCTAGGGGAAGGACTGCTAGATGAAGTGAATGCTCTATCTATTAAGCATAATCTACCTATATTATTTTCCCCGTATCTAATAGAATTAATATTTAGAAATCTACAACACGAGACGTAGTACGTCAAGCGAAATAATCCAAACAAGGAAACCCTCATGTATATACCATATGTCTCAAATTATGAATCGCTAATCATTGATCCCAACTAACAAGTAAAGAAAACAGTAAAGAAATATAAATACATTATTACATCGTATTTATAATACCTTCCACAATCACTAGGGAGATAAAATAAATACTAACATACAATCCCGTATAATTTTAAGAGCAAAGTATCTCGGTCATATATCTCAAAGATGAGTTGAACTCATAACTGACATCCGCCTAAAACTTAGGCTATAAATCAACAGTCTTAAAGTCACAGACTACCCTGTAGGTATCCTGAACTGTGTACATGGCTCATTAGTCTCATCGCGATCTCAGCATGTAGCCTGAGTGCGGGAAGACCTACCACATAGGTATCCAAATAGACGACTTACAATCACCATAAATAGACGGCATACTAGTCTCATCGCACACTTGTGCGGACGGACTGCTATACAAAGCATCCAAACTCGACTCAATGGCCGGTACATATGAAATATCGACGCACTATCTCATGTAGCACTGAACTGGGCTCATCAACGATATCCATCTTATGCATAAACTGTGTATATTTGGTATATCGATATATTATCCCATATAGTACTGAGTTGTGCTCATTAACGATATCCAATGAGTGTATGAACAATCACTACCTATTATAAACAACCCAACTCTTGTCAAAACCCCCTTTGTGTTACTCATGTGTGTGCAACGACACTGTACTGGTGTATGCGTGAATGTACGTGTACAAAAGTGCGGTTCGAACCCCATGAACGTGTCTCAAAACAGTACAAAAAGAAAACTCATGAAATCTGAAAAACGCCCGTAAGTCGACTTATGCCTGGCATAAGTGGACTTGTGGCAAGTCGACTTCCAGGTTGATGTTTCGATGTTTTCTACGATATTTCTCAAACAAAACTCATTCTATTCAACATGGAACATAGGAACCAGGTTATAAACATGTACAACTAATTAACAGAGATCAGCTTAAACGATTTAGCATTTGGATTAAAACTAATTAGGGTTAGTAACATGATTATACAATATTTCCAATAAAGACATGAAATATCACATGATTGCCATAACATGATCATTTATAAGTATGAACAGAGATATAAAATTCATTTAAATATGTCTAAGTTATTTAGGTATCACAAACCTAGGGTTTAAGCATGATTAATTAGCATGAAAAGATAATTAAACATCAAACTACGGTTATTACATAAGTTACGCATGTTTAAAAGATTTAAAATGAAAATAATTGAAACCCTAAAGATCATGATCATTATTCTATCATAAACAGCAAGAAAAGATTACTGATCTAGCATTGGTTTAAGATTTAATATCAAAAATCTGGCTTTTAACACCACAAGTTAAGAATAAAGAATGAAAACACGCATTCAACGTCATATTAAACATCTAAACTAGTTATTTAACTATGACGATGGGTTTGGATGAAGATAATCTTATCTCACATTGCTGTTGATCCTTCCCACACGTGTGCAAGACCTCTTCATTTGGTACAAACACAGATCTCACCTTCCTCTCAGCGAATCCTTCACCAAACTCTTTCAAAAACTCAAAAACTTGAACTAGGGTTTTAAAGGAGGGGTGGCTGCTGTATTCTCACAAAAAGTGCAGTAAAATAAGGTTTAAATGAGTATATATAATCTTGGGATCGAAACAATACGGATACGACCCGAAAACCCAAAAGAAAATTGGAAATAGTCCGTAAGTCGACTTGGTGTAAGTCAGCTTATCAGGAAAAATCTGTGTGTGCATGTCTTCATTGTTTTGGCTGTAACTTTCACATCCAAACTCAGAAAGAGGTGATTTAAGATGCGTTGAAAATCTATTGAAGAGACCTTTCCAACCTACCACCCATTCATCAAATTGGAAGATAAATATTAAAATTTTTTATTTTTCTTGATTTTGACTTGAATTAGTTGCTAATCGAATGTTCGCGAAAAGTTACCGAACACGTACACAACTAAACGAAGCAAATTCAAATTCTAAATATTATTCGAGTCGAATTTTAACACGAATAAGAATAGCGCTATTTGAGCCGAATTTGAACAAAACACTATTCGTTCAAATTCGATTTGTTTCCACCCCTAAATATCGCTGTTCTTTTGAAGATCATGCATTAAAAAGAACTTTAGTGAAATATGTTTTCCTATCTCCTTTTATCAATCCTCCTTTTAGCTGTGCTATGCATGCATCATTATTTTCATATAGTGTTGTTGGAGCTTCTTCCTTGAAGGACAAATCACATTTCCCTTGGATGTGTTGAGTCATTGATCCTAGCCAAAGATATTCTCGACTCGTCTCGTGAATTGCTATTAATGCTGCATGATTTGAAGAAGTAGCAGCAATATTCTATTTCTTAGATCGTCATAATATAGTTGTATCATCATATTGTTGGATAACATGTTCCTAATATGTTTCCTAATTTGTTTTGGTAACAGGTTATTGGGATTCCTAATATGTTTTGGTAACATGATTTCAAATCTGTTTTGGTAACATGTTATTAGGGTTCCTAATCTGTTTTGTTTTTTATTTTAGAATTCCCAATATGTTTATGATTTTAGGATTTATATATATAGAACAATTGGAAGAGAGAATTGAGAAGAAAAATAGGGATATTTGGAGCACAGAAAAGAGGTATTTTCTGAGCTATTGGTTAGGGTTTTGTTTGGAGAGAATTAGAGATTTGTTGGTGAGATTAATTGGTAAGTTTGAGTGATTTGTAATCTCAGTTCGCACTCTTCTTCTCTATCAGTGAAACACCATATCCCCTTCTTGCCCCGTGGACATAGGTAACTTGCCGAACCACGTTAAAATTGGTTGTTTGTGTTTATGGTATTGATTTGGTTTGTTTGACCTTCTCTCGACATTCATTTGATTTTATTTCTCGTAGCATGTTGGTTTGGTTATTTGGCTTCCGTAACGCTCAACAAGTGGTATCAGAGCTCGGGTTACGCTTGAGCTATTTGGAGGAGTAGGTCGTTTTGGAGGCTCTCCTAGGGTTTCATTTGGTGATAAAGGTGGGATCTTTTTGGTAAAGACTCTATCTTTTTTAGTTTGAATCTATTCTTTATTTGTTCCGTATTTGTTTTGGTGCTTTGAGAAAGATGGTCGGGAAAGAAGGAGTTGTGGAGGGTACTTCTGGCGTGAAGACCATCCAAAGTTTGAATATCCACTCTATGAAGATAGATGTGGAGA